GATTCTAAAATAATGACATAGGCCTAAAAAGTAATAGAGTCAGAAAATAAAGGAGAGAAATGGGTCCTAAGGAGGATAGATGGAAGATAGAGGGTTTTGTGACAATGTTCAGATGACTTCTTATCACAGGGCTGACTTCTTCGGTCCCCTAGTGATAAAAGTAGATCTCCCTTGGCTGCTGAAGTCCTGAAAAGGGGATTTATGACAGTACAATTATTTGGGAAGGCTCTGCTTTCAGGCAGATAATGGAATTTGGGGGGAGCGGGGGACTCTTCACAATAGTGTGTTCCAGAGCCCCTCAAACCTCCACTGTAGAAACGTGGTATATACACAATGGAATATATACAGCCATGGAAAAGATGGAAATCCTGTTATGTGCAACAACATGGATGGATTGGGGAACATTATGTTAAGTGAAATAATTCAAGGACACAAAGAGAAATCTCGCATGTTCTCACTCATGTGTAGGAACTACATATTAAAAACAATTGATCTCATGGAGACGTAGAATGGTTGGTGGTTATCAGAGGCTGGGAAGGGTAGTGGGGAGGGGAGATAAAGTGGAGCTTGTTCATTGGTACAAATATGTGGTTAGATAATCAAAATAATATACTTTCAAAGAATCGAAAGAGTGAAATTGGAATATTCCTAACACAAAGAAATGATGATGGCCTGAGGTTATGGATACCCTAATTACCCTGATTTGATTAACTCACATTGTATGCCTGAATCAAAACATTACATGTACCTTAGAAAGATATACGACTATTATTTGCTTATAATAATTAAACAGGAAAAACACTCAACTAGACAATGACATACATAAACTGTGAAGGGCAGTACATCAACCTAAAATGAAGAGAGGTAGGGACTGAAATAAGGAAACTGATCTGAGCAGATATTCTCAGGTCTTTCTGAAACCTATCTTTAGGCCAGAAACGTCACTGTAGGTATCTGGGAAACAGAATGTCCAGCAAGAAGAGGCCATTTCTTAATCTAAGTACAATATATGATGTGGGAAAATTTGAACCTGATAAGCCACTTCTTTTTAAGCAACATTTGGCTTCCTAAAATGCAGGTAGAGGCAATTAATGGTTACAAATGCAAATCAAAGACAAATTCATACAAATTAGTTTATAAATAGGGAAAAGGTGGCCATTGGTTGAAATTAATCTCTTAAGTCAAAGCCGAAGAACATGCTTAGAATTACAGTAAATGACATAGTTCTAAAATCCTTAAGGATAGTAGTACATAACATTCAAGGTGATACGCCATATACTTAAAAACTTTATGGCATCCGCATTAGCCAGTTGAAAGAGTGCCAGCTGCAAACAGTGGTTGTGGCTGTGACATTGTGTGCTGGTTAAATGTCAGCGTTGTATATCTGATATTTCTGTTTCCTTGTTTTCCAGCCACTTTGCTTACACATGACCTAATATAATTTGAATATTCAGATTGATATGCGGCTGAATTGCAATATTTCTTTTTGGAAACATAACATTTTATGTGTATTTCATACATACTGTGCCAAGTAATTTATGATGTGAATTCTGAGAAAAGAAATATCTTTTGGTCATGTAAACTCACCTTGCAAATGTTTAAATAAAAATATTAAATTGAATTTTATATCTGTTTTTCCCTAAAAGTATAATTTAGAAAGAAACACAAAGATTCTATAGTATAGCAGGTTGCATTTTAAGTAACGTATAATGTTGTGGCAAAGACTTACAGTGTTATGCATTATGGTTAATAATAACTTGAACATCTTTCATTTTTAAAATTCTTTGGAATTCTATTAACTTCTGCAGTCGATATGGAGCAATGTCACTGTTAACAAAAGAGTCACAAAAGTTAAGGGAAAGAAACGTAACCTATGCCCTGATTGCCTTGGAGGGGACTGTGAGAAGGGAAGTAGAAATGAGGAGCTGGCGGCCAGGATGAGAAAACACAAGCTTCCTCTCTGCATGGAGACGGTGATTCGTAAACAGCAATTACTAACCAGAGAAAATGCGAGGCAAATACAGGGCTCAGCCAGGTGTTACCTTATCTCAGTGATTTACTCTGCTGTTTTATCAATGATGAGAACAAAATCACCCATATCCTTAGGAAGCCAGAAATGTTTCTAGGCAGCTGTGGGAGCACCTGGCTACTTGTCCTACACAAAGACTATCTCCATCAAGGAAGAGTCAAGATTTGTTTCTCTGAGCTTGAAGCAGAAACAGTGCAATACATCTGTGGTTGAATTGTATTATTTCCTTAATCAGAAAACAAAGGCAGTTTTGCATTCCTATTTCTGTCGAATTGGCAAGAAAATTAGCACCTCCCTGAATCAATGAGACAGAATTATTCAGCATTACCTTGAGTGCCCTGCAGTATGAGCACTTTCTCCCTTTCTGTACCTTCTGCAATATATCTAAATATCTATATTTATATCTATATTATAGACACATATATATGCATAACATATATACACATGTGTATACTGTATTGTGAATACAGATTTTACTTTCAAAACAATAGAGATTAAAATACAAAAAATGTACATTTTTATAATAATTTACAGCTAGATTATACAGAAAACATTATATAGAATCTTCAGCTAAGTTTAGATACCCTATAAAATAAATGGAATCCAGCAGAATTTTACCAATTAGAATTTTACTGATCAAGGAGTATTAAATTGTGGTTCCTAAAAGTTTATTTACCGTTTATAGGATGGAGATATGGGGATAAGAATGGGTTTAGAATGAGTGAGAAGTAATCACCTGCACATTCATAAGAATGATAAAACACAACTGTAGTCCAGAAAGGAGGGAAGAGGGAGGGGAGGGGAAAAGGGAGGTCGAGAAGAGGAAGGGTATTTGGTGAGACCTCACCTAATGTGCCCAATGCAATGGTACATTTCAAAACTATTAAGAGAAAAGTGTAAATGTCATACCACAAGAATAAGTGAGGTGATGGTTATCTTACATTTCAAAACTATTAAGAGTAAAGCATAAATGTCATACCAACGGATAAGTGAGGTGATGGTTATGTTAACCAGTTTGATGTAAGAATTCCACACTGTATATCAAATCAGCACATTATACCCTATAAAGCATTAATGTACACAGTTAGGATTTAATAAAAAATAGAATTAGTGAGAAGGAAACTGATATATCACAGGCATTTTCAACTAATAATCAAATAATCAAAATGTTTTCTGCTTTTGTTTTTCAATTCAAATCCTTTTTGAAATAAAACTGTTAAATACTGTTAAACATTGAGAATTCAAAAAGTTAACCCAAGTTGTATTTTAATATTATGCACATTAAAACAATTGAATCACAGCACAATGTATTTCATGTTTATAAGCAGTATGATTTCAAACTCACATCACTTTGAAATAATCTTTAGTAATAATACTTCATTTTATATGGAATCAGAAAAAACCTCGAATAGCCAAGACATTACTCAGGAATAAAAA